AGAGCGGGTCGTTTCGCTTCGTTTCGCTGGACTTCGTTGCTCGAGCAAGCGAAATACAGAGCGGGTCGTTTCGCTTCGTTTCGCTGGACTTCGTTGCTCGAGCAAGCGAAATACAGAGCGGGTCGTTTCGCTTCGTTTCGCTGGACTTCGTTGCTCGAGCAAGCGAAATACAGAGCGGGCCATGTTCGCTTCGTTTTGCTGGACTTTGTTGCTCGAGCAAGCGAAATACAGAGCGGGGCCATATTCGCTTCATTTCGCTGGACTTCGTTGCTCGAGCAAGCGAAATACAGAGCGGTGTGATACAGATTTATAGTGCACCGGACATTTTCGCACGCATGCTCGGCCGTACCGAATGCTAGCGATAGTACAGTACTGTAACTGTATACGTAACAGTAGTTCGGATTCTAATGAACGTGGAATCCACGTACGAATCACGAACGCTCGTGATAATGAAGTAGGCTTTGTTGGGGGCCAACACTATGGGGGGATCGCGGACTAACCACGGCCACAGACTAAACATGGAAAGCAGACAGCACTACGCATATTTACGTATATTGGTCAAACGAATACACCTGTGCCCGAAATTGAAGACATGTGGGTACCCGCCCGTTCATTAGCACCCACGGTTATTTACTTGTGCCTCAATACCGAGAATACACCCAGAGATACATTCTATGGGCTTATTAGTCGTTATAAGCATCCTGGGACAAACAATTCTCTGCTCAACACCCGTAGCTACATGTGACGTCACCTAACCATTTCGAGGCTATTTTGCTTGGCAAACAATTTAGCGTTGGCGCCAGATTACCAGATTTCGGGATTTCAATTAGACATTTCTTAGTAATTAGCAGTGATATTGGACAAACTAATACGCATTTGGCTATAAGGTAATGTACTTATTAACTACACAAGGTGCCAGTTACTCTAGCATTCGTTAACATTGCATAATCAATGGACCTATTATGCCTTTAACAGCAACAGTGCTGCCACTCAGGATATTACAAAAAAAGTATAAAATCTGTCCAGAAAAAAGTATCAAAATTCATTAACACGTTCAACGCGAAACACGAGTATACTCGTTCGAACCTGCAAAACGCACGACCGCGAAACACGAGTATACTCG